ACACTAAAGCTACTAAAGCTGCACAACCTAGCAGCTAGACAATAGCACATTAATTCTTTACATTATACAGCAAGCTCTGCTACTGTACAAAGTAAAGAGGAGATAGTGTAAGGCGCACACTAAAGCTATTAAAGCTGCACAACCTAGCAGCTAGACAACAGCAGTACCTGTGTAATCTACTGCACAAGTAATTAACTCTATGTGTTATAAGGCACTTTGTTTTGTTACCTATCTTTTAAGAAAAGTAACAATAAAGCACCTACATTTTATAAAGTACTTTATTTAGTTACTTATCTTTTAAAATAGTAAATTAATCTTTTACATTATATAGTAAGCTCTGCTACTGTATAAAGTAAAAAGAAGATAGTGTAAGGCGCACACTAAAGCTATTAAAGCTGCATAACCTAGTAGCTAGACAACAGCAGTACCTGTGTAATCTACTAGAAAAGTAATTAACTATACTATTATAATAAAATTTTATTAGCAACTAACAACTTTATATAATAATAAAAAGAATAAAGAATAATTTCTATTATATAAATAACTTATAAAGAACATAAAGATATTAAAAGCAACACTATAGAATAAGACTAGCCTAGAGTACTAAAATAACAAAATTAACATGTTAAAAGCTCTAATAAGCTTATAAACTTAATTATACATAAGTTACATAATTACTAATCTACACATAATAACTTAGAAAAGCGCTACTTTTTTAAGTGTATATATAAAGAATTTTAAAGAATAGACACTATAAGACTTCTTAGCACTTAGCTGCATATTTAAAAAAAGCTTATACAAGTGCTAAAGAATAAAGAAATTACACTATAGCTAAGCACTAAAAGTACCTAAGCCTAGAAGCTGTATAATATAGCATAAAAAAAAGTAATTACACTAAAAAGGCTTTATATGCAACCTCTATTACTATATAAGGCTCTGCATAGAAGTAGACTAAACATAATACTGCTATTAACACTAAATATACTAGCATTACCTACTTCTATACCTTAGCTAGCACTACACTAATCACTGTACAAACAATACATGCCACTCTACCTAACGCCTGCTCTACACCCTTAATTGTACACACTACTGCCTGCAGTAGTGTATGCACTACTAATACTACCTGCATAATCTATACTACATTACAACCTGTATAAACTTCTACTTTAAAGAGAAACTGCTAAAGAAAAACTCTTAGTAAATAAAATTATATAATTTTAAAAAGTATAAAAAAAAGATAATAACTATATAAGTTAACTATATAATATTTTTATAAATAAAATAAGAATCTTTATTAATTTATGTTAATAGCTAGATATTTAAAAAACTTAGTACACAGACATCTTTCTAAATATTCTAAAAGGCTAGGTAAATATGCACTATATGTATAACATAGGCTCTAGAAATAACTAGAAGCATTTATATATTACTTTAAGCATTATAATAAAAGATTTTGTGTAAAGAGAAAAGAAGAAACTATAGAAAGCAAAGTTTTATATAAAGAGTAAGACTATTTTAGTAAAAAAGTAGCCTATTAAGTTTAATAGTAAAAGAATTAAACTTACACATAATATAGTAGTCTTTACTTAGAAGAGATAAGTAAGCTACTTTTATATAATTAACTTAGAGAATAAAGATGCTGTATAATAATATGTTAAGTAATATGTAAGAGGGGCATACATTACATCTATGTGTTAACTAAAGGCAGCATTTAACTTATTTATTACTACACAAACTATAAACCCTTTACATAATAATATTAACACACTTAACATATAAATCTAATAGTAAATAGATAATAGTAAGCGCAGTCTTACTTTCTTACTATTATAGCTTAATTATGTAAAGCTGTTTATCTTTATAGATAGATTATTTACTAATAATAAAAACTTTAGCTTATAGCTAGAATTCTTAATTATATTAAGTAATAAAGACTATATAAAGCAAAGCAACTACTTTAAAATACTAAGTAACATTATACACTAGAATTCTACTAAGTGTAAAAGAGTAACTAAGAGTGTCTTTACTAGTAAACTATATAAAATAGTTAGAGGGTTTAATAATATAATTACCTTTAGTATAACTTTATAGTAAATTATATAAACACTTAAACTACTACTAATTTTAGTAGTAATCTGCATAAATTTAAGGTTTCTGTATAATTACCTTATTAAGCTAAGCACTACTAGTAAAAAGTAACTTATAATTAATATTATGTTACTTTATAAATTATATAAGAAAAAAGAAATTACTAAAATTAAGTAAATTAATAGTAAAAACAACTTAGTAGATGTATGTATAAAGAAAACACTAAACTAGGCTTTTTAATTACTAGTTCTAACTAACTACCTCTCTGTCTAGATAGAAGCATCTATAGACTAGCTAGATCTTATGCGCAAAGATGCCTTAGACTAACTAGACTAACAACACTTTTATATAAGGCCTATTTTTTTATATTTTTTTTTATTTTTTTTTATATTATATATAATTATCTTTCTTATTATAAGAATCTATTACTGCTAGCACTATATAAAAAAAGAAAAGAGCTAAGAGATTATATAGTAAAGCTTAGAAAGTAAAAAATAAAGAAAAGAAAAGCTATTTATATAGTATAACTAGCTTATCCTAATATATAGCATTACTAAGGCAAGTCCTAATAAATAAGGTAAAGTAAAAGTAGAACATAATTAGATAGACCTACACAGACAGAAGAGAGGTAACGTGTACAGAAGGTAACTTTTTAGATAAAAAGAAAAGTTGCTAGTGTTTATACACAGCAGTAGTGTTGCAGCCTAGATATAAGTAATTGCGCACAAGCAGGATTACATATCTATGTTACATAATACTTGTGCGCAAACCTTTGTGCATAAACATTTAGATATCCCCCTTTTTCTCTATATAGAGGAAAGACAAGAGTAATAGAACTAGAAACATGTTGCCCTTACTTTACCTACCTTATACGCTGTGCACACTGTACACTACTCTTACTCTTGCTACTTAAGTGCTTATACTATAAGCAGCTAGCTGTTAAAGCCTATTTAACATTTACTAAGTTATTTTTACTATTAATTTACTTTATTTTAGTAATTTTTTTTTATATAATTTATAAAGTAATATAATGTTAATTATAAGTTACTTTTTACTAGTAGTGCTTAGCTTAATAAGGTAATTATATAAAAACCTTAAATCTATATAAATTACTACTAGAATTAGTAGTAGTTTAAGTGTTTATATAATTTACTATAAAGTTATACTAAAAGTAATTATATTATTAAACTTTTTAACTATTTTATATAGTTTACTAGTAAGAACACTCTTAGTTACTCTTTTACACTTAGTAGAATTTTAGTGTATAATATTACCTAGTATTTTAAAGTAGTTGCTTTACTTTATATAGTTTTTAATACTTAATATAATTAAAAATCTTAGCTAACTATAAGCTAAAGTTTTTATTATTAGTAAATAATTTATTTATAAAGATAAACAGCTTTACATAATTAAGCTATAATAGTAAAAAAGTAAGACTATGCTTACTATTATCTATCTACTATTAGATTTATATATTAAGTGTGTTAATATTATTATGTAAAGGGTTTATAGTTTATATAGTAATAAATAAGTTAAATGCTGCCTTTAGTTAACATATAAATATAATATATACTTTTTTTATATATTACTTAATATATTATTATGTAGTATTCTTATTTTTTAGGTTAATTATATAAAGGTAGCTTACTTATTTTTTTAAGTAAAAACTACTATGTTTTGTGTAAGTTTAATTCTTTTACTATTAAACTTAATAAGCTGCTTTTTTACTAAAATAGTTTTACTTTTTATATAAAACTTTACTTTTTATAGTTTTTTTTTTTAGTGTAAAATTTTTTATTATAATGCTTAAAGTGTTATATAAATGCTTCTAGTTATGTCTAAGGCCTATATTATACATATAGTGCATATTTGCCTAACTTTCTAGAATATTTAGAAAGATGTTTATATACTAAGTTTTCTAAATATCTAGCTATTAACATAAATTAATAAAAAATTTTATTTTATTTATAAAAATGTTATATAGTTAACTTATATAGTTATTATTTTTTTTATGCTTTTTAAAATTATATAATTTTATTTACTAAAAGTTTTTCTTTAGTAGTTTCTTTTTAAAGTAGAAGTTTATACAAGTTATAATATAGTATAAATTATACAGGTAGTATTAGTAGTGCATACACTACTGCAGGCAGTAGTGTGTATAATTAAGAGTGTGGAGCAGGCGTTAGGTAGAGTGGCATGTATTGTTTGTATAGTAATTAGTGTAGTGCTAGCTAAAGTATAAGAGTAGGTAATACTAGTACATTTAGTGTTAATAGCAGCATTATGTTTAGTCTGCTTCTATGCAAAGCCTTATATAGTAATAAAGGTTATGTATAAAGCTTTTTTAGTGTAATTACTTTCTTTTATACTATATTATATAGCTTCTAGGCTTAAGTACCTTTAGTGCTTAGCTATAGTGTAATTTTTTTATCTTTTAGCACTTATATAAGCTTTTTTTTAAATATATAGCTAAGTGCTAAAAAGTTTTATAGTATTTATCTTTTAAAATTTTTTATATATAAACTTAAAAAAGTAGCACTTTTTTAAGTTATTATATATAAATTAGTAATTATATAACTTATATATAATTAAGTTTATAAGCTTATTAAAGCTTCTAACATGTTAATTTTATTATTTTAGTACTCTAAGCTAGTCTTATTTTATAGTGTTGCCTCTAATATCTCTATGTCTTTTATAAGTTATTTATATAATAAGAATTATTTCTTATTCTTTTTATTATTACATAAAGTTATTAGTTGCTAGTAGGATTTTATTATAATAGTATAGTTAATTGCTTTTTTAGTAGATTACACAGGTACTACTGTTATCTAGCTACTAAGTTGTGCAGCTTTAATAGCTTTAGTGTGCGCCTTACACTATCTTCTTCTTACTTTGTACAGTAGCAGAGCTTGCTGTACAATGCAAAAAATTAATCTACTATTCTAAGAAATAAGTAACTAAATAAAGTACTTTATAAAGTATAAGTGCTTTGTTATTACTTTTTTTAAAAAATAAGTAACAAAACAGAGTGCTTTATAAGGCGTAAAGTTAATTGCTTATGCAGTAGATTACACAGGTACTGCTGTTATTATCTAGCTACTAGGTTGTGCAGCTTTAATAGTTTTAGTGTGCGTCTTACACTATCTTCTCTTTGCTTTATACAGTAGCAGGGCTTGCTATATAATGTAAAGGATTAATCTGCTATCCTAAGAGATAGGTAACTAAACAAAGTACCTTGCAGAGCGTAGGTGCTCTGTTGTCACTCTTCCTAGAGGATAGGTAACAAAACAAAGTACCTTACAGAGCGTAGGTACTCTGTTATCACTCTTGCTAATTTACAGTTAATTAAATTAACTACTAATTAGTGTTAAATAGGCTCTAATAGCTAGCTGCTTATAGTATAAGCACTTAAGTAGCAAGAGTAAGAGTGGTGTACAGTTGCCTACAAAAAGTTATTAGCCACCTAGCAATCTAAGCTTTGCAGGGGTATAGTCAACCTATTAGGAAAGGAGGTTACTTAGTTAATTATTAACTAAATTTAAAGATTTTTATTTTTATATAAAGCTTATATACAGGCCTGTCTTTTAGTGCTATGCTTAGTTAATAGTAAGTTAATCTGCCTTTGTTTTAGACAACTTCCTTTATGCGCTTTAACTAACTAAGGATACACTTCCTATAATTAGCTAGTATAATTTTTGCCTACTCTTTTTTAAAGATATTTACTATCTGCTTGTAAGTAGTAATATATTCTTATTGCTTTAAAATACAGAGCTTTATAATCTACTAGAGGTTCTTAATTAGGTTTAAATTAAAACTTTATAGAAGCTAATTTATCTATATTATGCTATAGTTATCTATATACTTTTAAGTAGCCTTTGCAGTGTAAATAGGTGCTCTATCCTGCATCTATATGCTAATACCGCGTTTCTCTATAAGCTGCTAATAAAATAGGATACTAACATTATGTAGAATCTAGCAGTATTTGCTAGCATTATTGCGCTTGCCTTTTTTGTTAATAAACAGCTCTAATTTAAAATTAAGAGAGATTACACTAAATATAAAACTGTAGTCCTTCTAGACTTAAAAGTAGGCTTTAGGTACTAACTCTTATATGCTTTTCTATGCTGCTAACATACATATAGAGGTGTAGTGTCTAATCTAACTTTAAATGTTGCTTTATTATAAAAGGCTACGCAAGCTATGTCTTTTACCTTATTATATTAATAAGTTTAAGCAAATTAGAGTTACTTTTCTTTATATACAGCTAATAACTAAGGCTTGCAATGTAGGTAGAAGGCGTAGTACTTATATTTTATAAGGTATTTTCTTATAGTACTAGTAACGTACTTCATGGGCGAGTTGCTCACACACCCGAGTCGCTTACTTTTGCCAAGACCCCACCCTAACAAACTCTATTATAGCCTATAACAACCCGCTCTAGCACTATATAGTACAGTACAGCCTAGAATATTATTTAGATACTACTTCTGCTTCTTGCTTACATGTTTGCGTGTTATGCTTAGTCTAATTGCACTGTCTACAGCGCCTTTAGGATAGCTTACCTACTTTAGCTTACACCTGCTTCTTTACCTTCTTTCTATTACTGCGCGCCTTAAACTTCTTTAGAGCTATTAAGTGTAAGCTTTTTTAAATTATTAAGGTTTTTTCTACCTTAATCTGCTTTTTTTTATGTAATTTATGTTATATAGCAGCTTTATTAGCTGCTTAAAGCTTAGTAATTTCTTATTACGCTAATACTAGCTTATGTGTAATTATTACTGCCCTTTTTAAGACCTTTTTAAACACCTTAACTATAGAAGTTAGTAAACTATTTATATACTTTTAAATTTTTATTTTTATAAGCATTAATTATAACCTAAGTTTTAAGGTATTACTTAGAGTTTATAACTACTAGGGCTTGTTATATATAAGTAGTAGTAGTAATAGAGTGCGTAACTTTACATTAAGGCCTATTATAACTTATTATAGGTTAAAAGGAACTAATCTAGCGCCTTAGAACCCTTTTTAGATATTACTAAAAGTAATTATAGCATAATAGGCTGCTTTAAAGCATAGTAGAAACTTTATCTTTATAATATAAGTAATTTAGTTATGCATAAGGTTTTTAGCTTAGCGCCTATACTCCTTTTTTAAAAAAGTAAAACAACCTATATTAAGTAGCTATAAAAGGTGTAATAAGTAAAAAAGTATATAGATAGTAATAATTTTATTATTTTTATAGTATTACTAGAAATAAAGTAAGTTATAGCTTTTATAGCTATTAATAACTAGCAGATAGTAGCTGCTAATAGTACACTTTTTTATATATATGTTAAAGTGCTTTAACTAGTCTAGACTAAGCTAATTAGTAGTCTAGCTGCGCTTAGAAATTATAATAACCTAATTTTAAAGTAGATTTTCTTTTTTATACTAGTTTAAAAAGTAGTTGCTACCCTAAAAGATAATAAAAAGCAGAATAGCCTACTTTTTAGTATTAATGCCCTAGATAGCTGTTATCTACTTCTAGTTACCTAGCTAGACTGCTTTTAGCTGTCCTTATTTCTCTAAACTTATAATAACTGCTCTAGTAGATATCTAGCCTATTATAAACTTTATTTTATTAAAGTTGTATGTGTTATTATTTTAGATACTATACTTAGCTTTAATATTCTTTATAAGGTTAAACTAGCTTTAAATTACTATAAGATTTTTATAAAAAGCTTTTTTATAGTTATACTTACACTTAAACTTTACTTTAAGCTTTAAGTAACACTTAATAAATATATTAAGCTAGTTTATGCTAACATAGCCTATATTATGCTTAGCGTGTAAAGAATTAGCTATATTAGCTACAGCTACTAGCTAGGGGGGAAATCCTTACACATTTAGCTTAAGTATGTGCTAAATAATTACTTACTTTTTATTATTATCTAGCTTTTATAAGTTAGCTGTATAATTAGCTTAAAAAAGTTGTCTAGTGTGTTAGTTACTTATTATTTTTTAAAAGACCTTATAGATAGCTGTAGTGTGTTACTTAAAAAGTGTTACATTTTATTTAAAAGCCTAGAGCGTAAGCTGCATCTAACATTCTTTTAACATGTTTAAGTAGTGTTATTAGAAATGCATTAGTGTAAGAAGGGTAGTGTAGTAGGGTCTTAGCAAAAGTAAGCAACTTAGGTGTGTGAGCAACTCGCCTATGAAGTACGTTATAAATGCAGCAGTAAGTCTTTAATAGTGTTATAATAGTTTAGAGTGTAGTAAAAGAATTATTTACTACCTAGTAAATTAAATGCCTCTTAGCGCGTTTGTTAAGCTTTAGAGGTTAGCCTGTACACAGAGCTTTTATATAGGTAGGCAGGGGCTGCTTGCGCAGCTAGCGGATGTTGTATGTAACTGTTAACTTAGGAATGCTAAGATAACATAAGATTTTGCTAGCGCTCACGCTGTAAAGGTAGAATTACTATATTATATTAACAAATAATTTAAATAGCTCTTTATAAGAGGTTTTATTTGCTTTTGTAACTATTAAAAAAGGTAGTAATTTAATTAAGTTACATTTAATTAAAATCTAACCATTGTGGGGTGGCCCGGACCTCTCGCTAAAGTGGCTAATGACTTTTGGTAGGCGACTGTACAGTGTGCACAGCGTACAAGGTAGGTAAGGTAAGGGCAACATGTTTCTAGTTCTATTGCTCTTGTCTTTCCTCTGTACAGAGGAAAAGGGGGATATCTAGATGTTCGCGCACAGAGGTTCGCGCACGAGCATCATGTGACATAGATACGTGATCCTGCTCGTGCGCGATCGCTCGTATCCAGACCGTGACGCTGCTGCTGCGTACGGACAGGTGCCCTTATTGCGGTATTTGAGACAACGGATGGAGGACGTTTTGTTGTCGATTCAGTGACTTCTCCTGATGATGGAGCGACCTGGGGGAATCGGCAACGAGTGTTTACGCCAGATGGCGGGGCAAATAAGGGGGCGGGTGCGCCTCAGGTTTGGAATGTTTGGGGGACGCTTGTTGTTTCTTTCATGACGGATGAGGATCGTAACTCGGATACTGGATATGCGAACTGTGCGACCAAGATCATGACGTCTACCGATGGAGGGAAAACATGGGGCAATAAGTTCACTGTGTTTAGTGATCAAGCGAGTAGGTTGCTCTTACGGGCATTGAAATACAGAATACTGACCGTTTTATAGACTGGCCGGGTATGGCGCTGCTTGACCCCTCACATTTACTGGTGATGGCCGGGGTTAACGGGAAAGGAGCTCTGAGCCAGAGAGTGCAATTGAATTAATCCGCTTCGGGAGGATCGTGATGGAGGGAGATGCATTGAAGCTGGCTACTTTTGTTAGTATTTAATCCTGCCAAATAAGTGTAAGGATTCAGATGGTAGCTTGAGCCGGAGATTCCTACGATGTTGAAAAAGTAGGGTTATTGAAACGACTTCCTTGTAGAGGTGGGGCAGGTGGGTTTGATGAACTGGGTCTACTTTCTAAGTGGACCCGGATTAGAATGAAGGATGGGTTTATAAGTCCACCTCTAAGTTCTATGGGTATTATTCAATTTAATCAACCCAAATTAATGTCCCTTGCCTCTCTTCTCTATCCCCAATCTCAGCGAAGCCACCCCCAGTCTGCTCTTCCAGCATCCGGTAAAAGATCAAAGCACTAGGCCAAAGTGTGGACAAGCTCTAGTCACCCCTCGTCCGAGGCCCTTGCCCAGGTAATGTTCTTTTGATACTTTACTAGTTTTTCCTTCAGGCGACTATCCGCCTCGGCTCTCCGCAGTACCAGGCCTCAATGTTCTCTTTCGCCATTCGCTGAAGATTGGCGGAAGTCTGGTCTCCGGCCCAAGCTGTATGTGGGGTAGTGATCAAGTTCAAATCCTTTGCATGATCGCCGATCAAAGGACATGTCTCAGAGGTAGCCGGCTCGTGAGCGAATACATCCACGGCTGCACCGCCGATCCAACCATGCTTCAATGCTTGTACCAGTGCCACTTCATCCACAATCTCTCCTCGTGATACATTCACCAGAACCGCTTCTTTTCGCATCATCTTGAGCTCTCCGGTTGAGATCATGTTAGTTGATTCTGGGGTCCTTGGTATAACGAGAATAAGCACAGTACTATTCTTCAGCACATCCTCGAATAGTGTCCGTCCAGGTCGACACGTTCCCTCGCCCTTTCGATCCGAGATCAACACCTTCATGCCAAGCATTCGAGCAAGCTTCGCAATCCGTTTACCTACGATGGATCAGTTATCGCTCAGCGGAACTTCGGCTTGCACATACCGATGGTCCCATTCCCGATCAACCCCATCGTCTCCTCCTCGCAGTTTAGTGGCATCTTCTCCATTGTCCCCATCATCATGTGATTTAATGTGCTTCGCCCCTTCCATCCTCCAGCTTGAACTATAGAGTGCGTCTTCACGAAGTGTCTTCGGACTGCAAAGTAAAAACCAAGGGCATGTTCGCTGACGGCAGCGGCACTTGCACCGGAGGCATTGCAGACTCGAATTCCCCTCTTCCGGCAAGCCTCTAAATCAACAGTGTCGGTACCAGACGCGACAAGAGATATCATCTCGAGGTTGGGAGAGACACGGTGGGAGAGCAGATGGAAGTCGAGCCTAGTTGCAGCAATTACCAGAATTGTGGCTGCTTTGATCCTCTCCGCGACCTGGTCGCCAGACGTGTGGGGATACTCAATGATCTTGTACTCTGATCCTGGGAGATCAAGCTCAGAAGGTAGACCAATTGTTGCACTCTCAAGCACTATGATAGTATGCTGCTTGGCAGTAGCCTTGAAGCCCGGCATCGTAATGACTTAGTGTGGCATTAGTCAGGGGTCAATTGCTGGGATTTTGTGGATCGACTTCTAGTTCTAGAAATTTGCTGTGAGAACTGCCCCTTATATGGGTAGCATATCTAGAGCTCTCTCGATACCTGTGAACGTAGCATCCCACGTGACACAAACGCTGGCAGGTTCTGATTTCACCGTCACCACTCTTATCGTTGGCATAGCGGGGTATTTTCCACTTGCACTTGAGTTTCATCCATAATGTCAATTTTAGTAAGGGTGAGGTGGATAATCATCGGTGTGTATTGCAACGGGTGTTGTCCTATTCACTATCGCGAGCCTTAACCCAGGACGCAGCCCCGCAAAACAACCACAGGCCTTGCCACAATTTAGTCTTCCTCATTTTTATTCCCCACAAAAACTACCATCTGCAACCGCAAACCTCAAACAGCTTCGATGACTCTCTTCAACCCCGCCTCACGAATTCCATTCCAACCCCCAGATTCAAACGCCTCTCTTTTTCACTGCACAGTTCGACACAGCAATCCCCAATGGCACCGTCAGCCTTCCCACCGCCCACACCACCTTCACCAAACCCCGAAATCCCCCTCACCCATCAACCACTCCTCGCCTTCACCCACGACGAAACTATAGCCACCCACTGTCACCAACAATTATGGAGAGGGTAGCCTCATACTAGCGTTCTGCATCTTATCGAAATTCGGGTTTGCAGAAGGTCTCATTGGTCATATCACAATTCAAGGTTCGGTTGAGCCAGAGAATTTTAAGTTAATCCACTAGAATGCATTTTAGGTAGATTAGGATTAAGTATTTAACAAGAGTGGAAGGGGAGGGGAGGCGGATGAGGAGCGGATGAGGAGGTCAAATTATTGCAAATGGGTGTTGCTCTTTCCGGTTACCTTGCGCCTCCCTTCAACCAAGGCCCCATCCTTTATATTTGCAAAAAAGGTGGGAGTAAGAAGGTAACGCGTGCTTGAACAGCCATATATGCTACCCGCACCACCCGCTCCGATGTCTTCTGTGCATCCGGAAAACTATTCCCACTAACCCAAGACACCTGTGTCTTTTAATCTGTACAACGGCCACATCCTCTACTCCAACTTCGCGGGCATCGTTCTCGCAGCCGAGCAAGGCAGACAGTCGCTGCATGTCTCGGCACCAAAAAGCCGCGCTGTTGGGTAAATATGGTTTATTGACAGTTGCACTCAGTAATAAGGCCCTTGTGGTTTGGTTTGGTTTGGTTTGCGGGATAGCTGTTGTCAGGCCCAGTTGCTTGTGGATGCTAGTCTGGGGGGTGGGAGGGAGGAGTTAGTTTGCATTAGGGAAGTGGAGGCGAGAAGAACGCGGGGAACGCTGGTGAGCGCGGAGAGGGGGTATTTTATGGGGTTGTCGCTTTCTTAGGGGTGGAGACAGTGTTGGAACCGCATTGAAGGAAAATGTGGAGAAAGGAATATGTTGTATGAAGGATCTTGAATATGTTATCTTCTAGTCAGAGGAACATAGCTTGTAGACATATTGCGTGCTACCTACAACTTCCCATCCTAAACACCCCTAACCTCAATTTCCACCGCCTTCCTCACCTGCTCCTCCAACGTCTCCATCTTCGGATCCCCAATCTTCCCGTTATCCCTTCCCTCATACAACGTCCCACCCTGCGTCCATATCCTCCTCAACGTATACACGGCCGCAATCGGACTCTTCTCCTCCCAGGCCTTTGCCTCCAACTCCTTTAACTTGTCCAGCGATGTGTAACTTACTTCCCACTTCCCGTTTGTCTGCTTCTCGAACTCTGTGAGAATAGAACGTGGAGTAGTTGTGAACGAGTTTACTTTTAGAATTCGGGAAGAGCTAGAAGAGGGGAAAGGGGTGTTAAGGGCAGCTACGAGCAGGTTTCCCACATCCCGCATAGTTGTAAACGACACTCTCTCTTCCCCTGTCCCCAATAACACAGCCTTCTTCTCCCGCACGTCGAAACTCCCGACCTCCTCTGCGCCTACCATTTTCCCGATGTACAAATCACTGTACGGCCCTGTCACCAAGTGCGTTATTTTCAACCTGTCGGTGTCAATGTTTTCGTGAATGTGCTTGCGAACAGCGAGTTTCATCTGATGTGGTTTTTCGGTAGCAGATGCAGGGGAGTACTCGATGTCAGTACCATATTCGGAGGGATAGAAGGTGTGGATATTGGGGGAGCGAGCGGCGAGCGTTAGGAGCGGGATTTGGGTCAGTAGAACAGAGCGGCCGAGGGCGGAGATGATGGTGTCGTAATCTGGAGGGGAGAGGAGATTAGTTGGGGAGTTATTAGAGGGTGGAGATGTGGGTGTGGAGATGCCATTGTGCTTGTTGTTCCACCATAATGGAAGGTGGGAAAAAATCTGGTGGAGATGAAAAGCTGACTAAGCGTACCTTCAAATGCCTTGGAAACATCCTCTTCCGAGTCCACATTCCCAACCACGACATCCACGCCCTTCGTCTTCAAGTTTTCAACTATATCAGCCTTACTCTTCACCGTCTCCGGCGATGTGAAAATTCCAATCTTCTCAAATGAAGACTTTGCCTCGATAAGCGCGTTCAGAATATATTTGCCGATGACGCCAGTGGCTCCGAACAAGAGGATCTTCTTGGGAATTGGAGCTTCATTCGCCATTGTTAGAATGTTCGGATTCCCGAGATTCCAGGGGTGATGTGGTCGTAAGTTATTCACTCTACGTCAGCTCGGCGATTTCTTGAGTGACTAGTGAGCAATCGGTCAACGCGTTGTTGCTGAGTTGCTGGTGTGTGGTGTCCTATGCGGGGCTCGTGTGCTGAGTGCAGATTTCCGTGAAGGAGTGGCCAGGATCCGCTGTTGTAGGCGTGCAGAAGGTGGATCTGATAAAGCGGAGGATTTGCTACGTTCGAGATGAGGCAGCCTGAAGTATTTGACTGCTTCGTTTCAAAGCTAGTAGTTTGAGTTGGAGATTTGATTTTTCATTCTACCATCGAATTGCATCACTCATCACCTGCCCCACTTCGTCATCCTCCCTCCAAGCATTCTACAAGTTAGGGCGTATACGAAAAAAAAAAAAAAAATATGGAGAAATCGTCGCGAGACCCAGGCCTCCCATGCCCTAGTTAAAATTCCTTTCCCCTACTGTGTTTTAGCGTGTAATGCACGGCCTCGCGTAATGCACGGTTCTGCGCGAAGCTGTCAAAACTTCAACCACCTCTCTCTTAACTAATATAGGCAGTATTAAGGCCGCTTTAGAGTTGCTAAAATTGCTAAAACCTAAAGAATTACTAAATTATGCTGCAGTAGCTAGGCAGTATAGCGTTAATTAATCTACGCTTTTAAGGCGTTACTAACGCGTTGTCACGATTGTGCACGAGTAAGGTTATAGAGCTTCACAGAGGTCTAGTTTAATTACTATGTAAGGTATTATAGTAGGTACAAGACGTTGTGTAAGGAACAGAAAGGTTTAAAAAGAAATTAGTAATTAAATACTTAGCTTAAAAGTCTAAGCACTTTAAGTATAAATTAAGCCTGTTTTAGGTTTAGTTAGTGTTAAAGCAGTTTATGCTTAAGTTTATGTCTATATTATATTATGTTTATGTTAGATGTGCACTAATAATACTCTAGTACACGTCTAATATAGTTATGTCTAAGATCTAGGGAGGATACTGTAACAGTACCCTCTTTTTTATTAGAAAGGGAATCCTTTACATTAGTAGTTCTAGCATTAAGTTGTTTTTATTAAAGTATAAGTTTAGTTTAGATAAGTATTAAGCGTAAAATTAAGTTACTATAGAGTTTTTTTTATAAGGCTTTTATAAGTTCCTATAACAGTTTGTTATATCTAGTCTATTTTATAAAGTATTTATAAATACATTTCTTCTTATTAAACTAGATTTATTTAATGTCTTTTATAATATATTTTAGTTTATTATTTATAATAATAGGTTTAGGTAGTAAGTTTAGCTGTTTAAGTAGATAGTTAGATTTAAAGGCTACTTAGCGCAGCAATAATACATAGAACACAGGGTGTATCTTTATGCTGTTAGGTAGGATTAATTAGTAAGCATGTAATAAAACTATATAAGCTACTATAAAAAGGCTAAAGTTTTTCTAATTAAGTTTCTTTAATTATTAGTTTATTTAAATATTTCTAGTGTCTAGCTAGACCTTTTTACTAGCTATATACATAGGGGTAAGAGTTTAGAATTAGTTTATATACTTTTGTTAAAAAGCTTAAGCCTATGTAAGCTCTTTATAAACATATTTAAATATATTTTAGATTTTATTAATAAGTCTATTTACATCTATTACTTATATAAATTAATAAGTTAGTTAAGAGGTATTTAAAAGTAGTTTAAATCTTATTTAAAAGTAGTATCTATAGTTTACTAAGAATAGAAATACTTATGTTAATTTAGATATTATGTTATTAGCTTTAAACTATGCTATAGCTAACTATTTTACCTAGTTATCTTACTAGTAGTATATGTACACTTATAAAACTTATTTTATTATAGTGTTTATGTTCTTAGTCTAGCTATTAGTCTTTAAGTAAAAAGCTATAAATAAATAAAAAATAATTTAGAGCTATTTATAAAGTTTATTTTAAAAGGCTAAGACAAACTGTGTACCTCTGTCTAATATAATTATATTAGGCAGGCTATAGTAAACTTATACATATTAGTAAAATAACTAGGCTATATTAGGGGCAGTTATAAAGGAATATAGTATTAAGTATTAATACTTAGTTAAGTAATTAATAACTACTATAATATTTATATACTTTTTAGATAAAAGTAGGTTTATAATAAAATTAATTAATAAGTCTTTTTAAGCTTATTTAAAAATTAGAAGTAGTTTAAGTAAGCTATTATACCTTTTTTAAAAGGCCTTTACTTTATAGTAAGTATAGCAACATAATATGTATTAGCGTACAGTATAAAACATGCAGGGCTAGTAGTACTCTCTCTGTAGTAGGTTAAAAGTCTTTTTTTTACCTAAGTGTCCTCTAACAGGCAAGTTGTGTATAATTTAAAGTAGTTTAATTCTTAGTTTATTAAAATTAAAAATTATAAGTTAGTTATAGTAATATAGCTTACTATTTTAGTTTTTATAGTTAGCTAGTGTTACTTTTTTTAACTAACTAGCGCTATTTTAAAGTAAGTCTAAAGTTTTTTAAATAAATTTATTATTTAAATACTTATTAGTAATAATTTAATTAATTATCTAATTTATTTTATTTAAGTTAAGGTTTAAAAATAGCTTAAGTTAAAGTAAAGTTTAGTGTTAAGCTTTTTACACTTTTTTTTAAGTAAAAATATTTTAGAATTACCTTATAAAAGTATTTAGTTTCCCTTTATTTTAACTAAAATAATAAGTAATCTTAAAATTAAAATAGAATAAATATTTAGACTAATAAGCTTATTAGTAGCTAAGTTATTTTATAGTTATAAAGTACTATAAGTTCTTATAGTTAGATAAAACCTATATTAGATGCGCTATACTTTTTAGTTTAGGTTGCTATTATTTAAAGTAGTATACTATAGTAAGTAATTTTTTATTATAGATTTTATAATTGCCTTCTGTAAAGCTTATTCTTTTTAAAAAGTATGTAATAGGCTTAATAGTCCTATCTAGCTTAGTCTAGAAGAAAACTCCTGCTACTACATAGTCTAAGGCATTAGCTTTTATAAGTATTAGTAGTTTAAAGTTAAAGTAGTAGAGTATTAGAGCTTTAGTAAAAGCTTTTTTTAGCTAGTTAAAAAACTATTAGTAATTTAAGTTAAAGTTAAATTAAATCTTTTTTTTAGTAAGTGTAATTATAAGGCTTACTAGCTATAAAAAGTTATTAATAAATTATTAGTAAAAGTTAGTAAATTTTATAAAAGCTTAAACATTCTTTATATTCTTTAGGTATTACTAATTTAGTATAGTCTAAACCTTAATAAGGTCTATTTAGATACTATTTATAAAAATTATATATCCTAAATATATAACTTTTAATTAGTAGAACTTATATTTATTTATGTTAAGTTATAGACCTGCTTCTTCTATAGCTTTTAGCACTAGGCGTACATGCTGTTTATGCTCTAAAAGGCTATTACTGTCCGTACGCAGCAGCAGCGTCGCGGCCTGGATACGAGCGATCACGCACGAGCAGGATCACGTATCTATGTCACATGATGCTCGTGCGCGAACCTCTGTGCGCGAACATCTAGATATCCCCCTTTTCCTCTGTACAGAGGAAAAACAAGAAGCAATTAACACTAGTTACCTAACACCCCTGTGTAATGTTTACACTGTGTAAACCTCTCTGTCTTATACGCATTTGCTAACACTAAGTGCTAGCTAGCAGAGAGTCTATTTAACACTAATTAGTAGTTTAAATACTATAAAAGAGAAAACTTTTCTTATACCTTTTTATTTAAAAGTTTATATATAAAAAGAATTCTTTTTTTTACTACTTTAACTATAAATTAGTAAGAGTAAAGACAGAGTCTAATTTATATATAAGTAGCTATAAATCTTTGTTTAGTTACCTAAGTAAAAGCAAGAAACCTGTCTATACAATACTATTTAAAGGTATTATACAAATAGTAGTGCTTATTTAACACTAGAAAGTCTATTTTATCTTTTTACACAAGGCTGTTTAGAGGCAGTGTATAACAAGAAGTAAGACAGCGCACAACAACACATAATTAACTACTATAAAGTAATAAGTAACACTAGCTCTATCTATAACTAGCTAACATAACATATTAATGTATAACTAATATATACCTTTTATAGGCATCTTAGCAAAGACTCTAGTAAAGTAGATAAACATTAAGGATTAAGTAGATAAAATTAAACTATTAAATAACACACTTAAAAATAAGCTTAATTTATATGCAGCTAACTTAATTATAGAACTTTATGTGTTAAGCGTAACAGACATATGTACACTTAAAAACTTTTAGAATAACTTTATAAAGTAAGAGCTTATACACTTTAAAGATTTTAGCTAACTGTTTCTATAAAAACTAATTACTACTTTATAAAATAAGAGTATTAGCTTTAAAAAGAACATAATAAAGGCTACTATACTATATAAACTTATAAAAAAAGAACACACATTTACTATTTTACTAAAATATTATATAAAACTATTACTACTATTACTAGTCTTAATGTAATAGAAGATGTCTCTATATAAATTACTTATAGACCTAATACTTTCTCTATAATTAGTATAACTACCTTATAATAGCTTACTGTACAAGAGCACAACTAGGCAGCTACATATTCCTGTAGCCACAGCTCTGCATAAGATTCCCTAAAGCTTGTACCTACTATATATAATTTAATTACTATATAATCTATACTAACTTCTACTTATATAAGATATTATAGTAGAGAACTTTGCACCTAAGAAGGTTATATAATTTTAGAAGGCATAAAGAAAGAAAAATAACTATATAAAGTAACTATATAATATTCTAGCTAACAAGGCTATAGTATTTATTAAGCTTTACTAACACCTTGCTATCTTTAAAGCATTATATGTAAGCATCTTTTCTAATATTTTTAAAGGGCGCACACACATGTTCTACCTTTATAATATTAGTTTAGGATAATTATAGAAGTTACTGTACAAGCAGCTTAGTAATTACTTTAATACTAACATAAACTATAACTAGTATTAGACAGATTAGATAATAATAAGCTTTACATAAAGTAAGTAGAAAAACTTTATAAAAACTTTATATAAAGCTTTTAAAGCTATAATTAATAAACTTACTCTTATATAAAAAGCTCTTAGTCTATAATTCTAAGGTAAGATACTGCTTTACACTACTATTATATAAGCATACTAAAGGCAACTTAAACTTAAACAAGCAATGTTCTTAATTAAGCCTACATATAAGGCACTGTATAGTAACCTTTATTTAGCACTTTAGGTTATAATTAATTAACAAA